GGAGCAGTTAGTGTTAATTCTTTGTTCCTTTTATTAATGGGTGTAAACATTTTACCCCCCCCCCCCCCACTGGCACTCTCTCTGAATTCATTACAGAAAACAGACATTGATAATTTATAAATACACTTAGTAATACGGCTTCATTTGGACGTGGCCAGCGCGTGCCGACTTGCTATTACTGCGGTAATTTCCAGGAATGGGTAAAATTGAATGCATATTTAATCTGTGTTTACACTGGTGTTTCTGTGAAGCAGTGAAATGGTGCAAATTTTCTTTAACAGACACTCCCCCATGCCAGGGAGTTATTGTGTTTCTAAGTCTAAGTATTCTTCACGCAACTGGGCATTGAGGTGTGTGTGTGTGTGTGTGTGTGTGTGTGTGTCTGGGGGGGGGGGTTGGAATGGCTTTGCTTCACTCTGCCTTGGCCCTCCCGTGACTCTGACTTGTTGCCGTGTGCCGGTTACCATGCGGGCTCTCGCCGTGTATTCTTGATGCGGTCGCCGTGGCTACCCTGTAACGGCAGATGCGGATGGAATCTGCAGAGGCCGGGGTCTTCGAGTGGCGTGCCGCGCTGCCTTTGTGCCCATTTGTCCTCCCCTCCTGGGGTGTAAATCTAACACGGCGGCCCAGCTATCATCAGCCAGCATTCAGACTGACACTCTGTCCACCGCTTCAAGGACTGAAAGCTCCGGGAGCAATAACCCTCCCCCCGGCGTAACGGCTTTCATGCACAAGGGCTCCATGGAGGTGCTTAAAAAAATTAAATGACAACAAAAACATTAATAATTTAAAGAATCGCTGATATTCCTTACATGCAGACTCAAAAACTAAGAGGGTCGTTGCTTCTCTTTGATTATGGGCCTGTACTGGTTTCACTGGACTCCCTGGGGGTATCTGGTGGTTCTGGGAGTTAAAACAGTTTTTATGTTGGAAGTTCAGACTGGCTTTTAATAATGTTTGTTTGTCTGATGAGAATGCAGTCCGTAACCCATCTGCAGCGGTCACGCGAGCACGGTTCTGTACGCATCACGCCTTTTTATTATCCTTTTTGTGATTTATCCTGCGTGTTGCGCTGGCCTGTAAGCAGAAACGCCTGCTGCCTCATTCCTGTTGTTGACATCGATATTGTCTCCGCATCAGTGAAATGAGTTTTGCTGACCTGAGTCAGCAAGAGCGGCAAAATTTTGCGGGCGTAGTGGTGCAGCGCCTGGTGGAGAGAGACGTCGGCGTATCGGCACCCAAACGCCTCCGCGCTCTCCCGTTCCGGCCGCTCGGTGCGTGTGCATGTGCGGAGGCTCTAATTCCCTCCAGATTGAACGTTAGACGGGGCCTGGTTATCATCAGAGATGAAAGGGAGCTGGCCGCTGTAACGTCTGAGAGAGGGCGCCGTGTGGCAGCGACTGGGCCGGGCGAGGTGACGGATAGGCACGTACGCACGTGACAGTCAGCCGGCTGGCCTTCTGGCTGACTCAGAGCTTTGGTGGCGGGCTGCCCGACATAGCTGGGAAGCCGCATACCGCCCAATCTGCCGGCCGTCCAGAGCGCGCGGCCTGTTTGTTCAGGTGTGATGTCATTTTCCGTAGCAGACAGAAGCTGCATCGGAGCATGGCGACCGCGTGCGGAAATGGCGGGATTAACTGTCGTGATGGGATTGTAGCCGAGCTCGATCGAGGGTGGCTGGGTGGGCTCCTCAGAATCCGGGCCGAACCGGGCCTGGCGTTTGCCTCTGGGATCGTAGGGTTCTGCTGTATTCATGGGAATGAATTTGAGGGATGCATTGACACGGCGAGCCTCTATCGACACGCTGGTCATGTCTGATTCCTGATGGATTTGCCACTCTTTCCACATGCGGTACGCTGTCGGTCTCCACCCTGGGAAGGGGTGGGGGCTTCTGTTGCAGTGGGTGTGTAGTAATCCGGGGAATCCGGAAGAGTTAGGGATGCAGTTTGATGTTTCTGATACTTTACAGCCGAATCCTGTTCTTGAGTTTACCTGGTGTCCCTAACCCAGTGACCTCTGTGGTGACAGAGGCCACTGATCTCGCTCTGGTCTACAGCTGGGGACACGCGCACGCACTCACACACACTCTCTCTCTTACAGTCACGTTCTGGCATAAAGGGTTCTGAATAGATCCTGCGGTTCCCCCTCCACGCCGGCCCCTGGTGTACCGCGGAGTCTCCATTGTATTATGAAATGCAGGATTTTTTATAATGAGCAGTGACCATTTGTCAACCGTTTATCAGCCCAGAGGGGTGTCACGGTATCACGTTAAAATATTTCTGCTCCTTTTTTCACGCTTTACATGAAAGAATATCGTTCGTCCTGCACCTTCTGTGAATCTAACGCTCCTGTACCATGCGATAAAGCGTGAAACTGCTTTCTGCGGAATGGCTGGCGGTGAAGCCGGCTCAGAGAAGCGGCGCAGAGGAGCGGCCTAAATGGCATGGAGCCGCAGATAACTCCTTTGTCCACGACGGCGCGCTCTCCCCGCACGAGGGGCAAGGACTGCTTTGGTGGGGTGGGGAGTTAAAAGGCCGCTGTCAATAGGCGCAAGATCGGCGGCCCAGAGTGTCCAGGCTTTTAGTCACGAGGGGTCGCACCGTCTCGCACGCTGCCTGGACATGAGGGGCCAGTGAAGGGACCCGCAACCTGTCACTGCAGAGCACTGGCTACCTGGGCGCACAGTCTGCAGGGGAGCTGGGTTATCAGGGTGCGGATGGGAGGGGGGGGCTGGGTTTCATTGTTTTCTCACAGGAATATTATTATTAGGGGTCCAAGCACCAGTGGGGGCTGGATCCTTATTATAATTTTATTATATTATATAATTCTTTATACCATTGTCTTAGCAGCTTCCTCAAACCAGCAGCCGAACTTAAGACGTCACATGACATGCATGCTCGCCCTCCATGAGAGTCCCAGGTCACGGTAATAAAGTCGCCAACCCCCCCATAGGTTTGTAGGCGGTTGGCTTATCGGCATGCGTGGCGTGTGTCCCCCCCCCCCCCCCCCCCCCCGACACCCTGCATTTCTGAGGAGCTGTTTTGTATCATCTTGACAGTGAACTTCACAGTCCACATCCACATCGTGACCCTGGGCAATGACCTCCTCCTCCCCCCGCC